CAAAGCCAACTCAGCAATTGTGTTAAAATCAGCTCCAAGTGGGTAAAAAATAATTATGTCGGGGCAGATCACAGCCACCAATACACAGACCACTGAGCCAAGAAACCCCCTGACCCAGGAGAAGATAAAGACTGAGCATGTGGACTAATTAGCATGAGAAATGAGAGAATCATTAGCCAACAGAAGATAGAATACTAATTAATAAAAGAGCTATGTTACGTGTAGCCAATGAACACTAATTCCTTTGTTTGCTAAAATGTATAAATAGTAAAAAGTTTTAATATTTGGCATGCTTGATTTGTGGAATTCCACTGAGCACCCAGGCTTGTGCAACTCTGACATAAATAATCAGTATCTCCCTCGAGTGTGTAATTATTGGCTTGTTACACACCAGTTAATCAATGCAATTCTTGTGGGTAACATTATCAGTGTTCTTCTCACACTAAAGTCAAAGCACAGCACTGTGCCAGCTACTGTGCAATTACAGACAGAATCAACTCCATTCCAGCCAAAATAATTTGACTTATGTGGTGTGGTGATTGGCTCTCACAAATGAGGAATGGATATTATGTCTCTTAAAAGAAGCTTTGTTAAGGTTTAAAGTTGTTATGATGTGTGACTCTGTTGTTGCATGGTGCTTTTGGACCCCTTTTTTGTCCTCCCTTTAATCCTCTCTTCTCCCCTCTGTGTTGTTGCCAGCAGACAACCCTGTGTTATAGACACATATAATATTGGCTTTTTGCAAATATTAAAATAGATTTTATATTATATATTTTTATATAAATATAAAAATATTTCTATTTATATAAAATAGATTTTATATAGATTTTATATCTTTACAAAGATATCATTTTTATTTCTGTTGTTAATTAAGCTTAGACATAGTAGTGAAATAGCTGATATCAGTGTGTTTGTGTTAAAATGCCTGCTGGGATGGGATAACAGCCAGTGAACACAGGATGAGCACACCTGCACAGACCTGCCAGCCATCAGCACTCACTGTCTGAAGGCAGTGTGGACCACGGCCCAAACACTGGAGGTGATGATAAAAAAGATTAAAAGCACAATCCAGAAACACACAGGCTCTGAAAAGGTGAATCCAATGAGCAGACATGCTGAACAATTATTGGAACATGCAAACTAGTTTGGGGGAGAACTTTACTCTGCATAATTGTTTATGAATATGCAACAGACTGATGTAATTATAACGCATTTAAAGGATATCTCCAAAGATAACAGTGTGCTCTTGGCTGAATGGGCTTTTTTTACCCTTTGCTTTATTTCCTACTGTCTTTTTATTAAACTTTTTAAATTTTCACAGCAGAGTGAAGGTGTTTTTCACACCTGGGACATGTGGAAGGGGAGGAGCGGGTGCCCCTTGCACCAGGCAGCTGGGATGGGAAAGCCTGTTGCTGGGGGGACTTGGCATTGATATAAAATTTCAATAGGCAAACCAAATTTCATTTTTATATCTTTTATTGTAAAGAAAGCAAGCAAGCAGTGCTGGGTGGCCGGGGAGTCACTGCTCCACTCACAGCACACACCACTACATGTTCACTAGAGTATATATACTGTTTTTAAACCTACAAAGCATTTTCCAATGTGCTTGGTTAGTCCAAATCAGCAAATATCAATAATCTGGGATCAGCAATTTCATAATCTTTCCAGGTGGTCGCTGGATTCCTGTCCTTTTATGGTCGTCTGGAGGGAGGCCTTACACAGGTGTCTGCTACATGATTTTGTCAAGTGCATCAAGCTTTTTGTTATACATAAGTGTTATAGGTAAAAATTGATCCAGCCGATTTTTAATAAAAATAAAAAGTAAATTTATTCCTGACAGCCAACAATGAAAAGCAGCACCGACCCTGGGATTGGAGCTGGGTGAGCTCAGATCCAGTCTCTACCGCACCGAATCCCCTCTGTTCACACATGCCACTTGGCAGAGTCCAGGTTTTATACTCTTTTTTCTTGCCTGCTTGGAGTCCCTTTGCTTTCCTTGGAGTTCTTGATATTCATGTTGTGTCTATTCTCTCTGTGTCCTACGCTGGACAAATCCTTGTCCAGGAACTGGTGTGTATCTGCTCCTGGACAAAGCCTTGTCAGGGAACTGGTGTGCATCTGCTCCTGGACAAAGCCTTGTCAGGGAACGGATGTGTATCTGCTCCTGGACAAAGCCTTGTCAGGGAACTGGTGTGTATCTGCTCCTGGACAAAGCCTTGTCAGGGAACTGGTGTGCATCTGCTCCTGGACAAAGCCTTGTCAGGGAACTGGTGTGTATCTGCTCCTGGACCCAAAGCCTTGTCAGGGAACGGATGTGTATCTGCTCCTGGCCAAAGCCTTGTCAGGGAACGGATGTGTATCTGCTCCTGGCCAAAGCCTTGTCAGGGAACTGGTGTGTATCTGCTCCTCGTTCCCAATCCCGCACTCAGATGTATGTCCTTGATGGTCCTGTCTATCTGAGATGGACATCTTCATGGGCCCTCTCCTGTGCAGGCTGGGTCGCTTCATATGTTAATGACACACCTCCTCCTCAGCTGCCAGCTGAGGTTTCACCACTCCTCGTGTGATTTTAAAGCTTTATATTTTATTCTTATATTCATATTCTATCAGCACAAATTACCATCATATCCATAACAATAAGCATTTAGTTGCTTATTAGCAACCAAATGCTTATTGTTGCAATTAGCATTTAGTTGTTGCAATATCTCTTAGCTTTACCACAACTTCCTCTATTTTATTCTAAGCATCAGTCATCTTGCTACCTCATCTCTTTTACTCTACTATACTTCTTTTATTTAGATGCTTTATTTGGCTATTTGGTCAGAAAGTTTCAAAACCATTCTTTTCATCTATTTTTGACACAGCAGATACAAGCATTTGCTGATTCCATTGCCAATTGACAAGGATCACAAAAACATTTTTCACAGCATGGCAAAACCTCACCTCCAACCATTCCCACTTGGGGTCTGAGTCATTTATAACAATATCCAGGGTCCTAAAGCAAAAAGGACAACGCTTTAAACTTTAACAAAGCTTTTTTTAACACACATAACATCCATTCCTCATCTGCCAGAGGAATCACCACACCACCCATCTATAATGTGAAAAATGTGTATTTTATTATTGGCTGTTTGCAAGTATTAAAATTAATATTATATGTGTTACGTTAGAAAGTTATGCTGTATTAATTTTCTTAAGTAGTATGTTAAATATCGTTTTATATTATAACATAATGTTAAAATAGAAACTATGCCATGTAAGATTTTTTTGAAAAAAAGAGGACTCGCACCGAGGTAGCAGCCACAGGACACCTAAATCTTTCAGAGAAAAAGAATTTATTGCTCTCTTATCAGAAGAAACTAACTTCTTGCTGCCTCACTCAGCCTGTAAGATTAAGACCGCCTGTTAGGATTCAGAGGAAGAAACTGACACTGACCAGACAGAATCCTCTGTTTGAATGGGATTTATGCATCCTGTATGAGGTGTATGAATATGCAACAGGCTATTGTTTTTAAGGGTTAACCCTTTGTTAACCTCTGTCCTTTTTCGGGCTTATTTTGCCCAGAAAGAGGTAACTCTTTGTTTTTATTGTCTCATATTGTCCTAATCCTAATTGTCCAAATTTTTATTACTCTAATTATGTTGCTATTTTTATAACCATTTTATTGCTATTCAACTTTTAAAATTTTAGAAACGAGTGACTGGTGTTTTTCACATATAACACTTACGAGGCAGGGCTGTATAGGAATGCGCCCCCTAATGACAGAGTGGCAAACTAACCTTTGTCCCCCAAAAAAGGAAAGAAGCCCAGAAGCTTCTCTCAACTGTTAGGTGGAAAGCCACCTCATAGGGCCTCAGGGACTTCACCAACCACTGGAGAACATCTAATTGGATAGAAGCCAAAAAGTCCCGCCTGATCAATCAAGTAGAAAAGAACAGAACAAAAGAGAAGAGGGGCTTTTGTGTGAAGTGTTTCTACCAGGGGCAGACCTCTGTACCTGGCTCGAGTTTTTCTGTTTGTTATTTTGCCTTTATTAAACCTTTTTTGTTTGTAACACCACAGCAGAAGCCATCCTGTTTATTTTATGCCCCCAAAGTGTAGCTAAGCTATCCTTGGGTGTATTAAGTGTTTTTCTAGGGCTTATGAGAACTGGCCCCAGAACAAACAACTTAATAGGGCTGAGTGAGACAGGTTTGTTTAGCCAGGAGAGGAGGCTCAGGGGGGGCTTTGTGTCTCTCTAAAAGGCAGTAGCAAGGTGGGGTCGGTCTCTTGTGCTGTGCCTGCAGTGAGAGCACCGGGGAATGGCCTTGAGCTGAGACAGGAGAGGTTCAGATCAAATCAGGGTGGTCAGGCCTTGTTAGGGCTGCCCAGGGAGGTGGTGGAGCCACCACCCCTGGGGTGTTCAGGAGGTGCCAGGTGCTGGGTGATGAGGTTTGGGGGTTCAGGGGGCACAGTGGGAGCACAGTTGGACTGGATGACCTCGATGATATCAACGTTCTCTTCCAACCTCGACAATTCTGATTCACTGTCTGGGGTCAGTTCATAACCAGCGCCTAGGGGCTGCAGCAGTCCCAGTCAAAAACCTTAGGATGAGTCTAAGCCTAGCTCATGCTATCTAAATGAGTTTATTTCGGCTGAACATTCCCCAACCCCGCAGGGCGGTTTCAGGGTCCCCGTCTGGCCTCAGGGCCCAGCGGCGGCTCCGGGCCCGGCCGCCCTCGATGGCGCCGCGCGCGCGGCGTTGCCCCGGCAACCGTGGCTGGGCGGGAAGGGCGAGACCGGCCCGGCCCCACAGCCGACCCCACAACCAACCCCGAGGCGGATTCGAATCCACAGTCGACGGCACACCCACCCCCACAGCCGGCCTCGAGGCGGACTCGGACCGACGGCCGACTCCACAGCCGCCCCCACAACCAGCCCCGAGGAAGATTCGAACCCACAGGCGACTCCACACTCTGCCCCGGAGCGGACGCAGCCCCAGAGCGGACCCCGGCCGGCCATGGAGCTAGAGGAGGACTTGGGTGAGGCTTGAGGCTTGGCTGGGGAGGGACAGGGAAAGCGGTCGTCGGTGCGGGCAGGGCCGGGACCACATCCGCGCCGCTGGGGTCTGTTCCCTCTCGGGCCGTGTTTGTCGCTCCCCTCGGGCCGGGCCTGTCCCCCACTCCGGGCCACGTCTGTCCCCTATCGGCCCGGTCCGTCCCCCTGCCCAGTGCCCGAGCCGGGCGATCCCTCTCCCGGCGATTCCAGCCCAGGTCGCCCCACCAGGTGCAGCCGGCGCGGGTGAAGTCGGCCTGCACTTTATTTCACTGAATAAAGTGGTTTGTTTGGTTCGAGCGTGGTTTCCACCCGTGTCTCGCGGCTCAGCCGCTCCAGGCGGTTTTGGGACCCGTTTCAATGCCGTGTGTGGGCAGGGGTAGGTACAAGGATCTCCCTGCGCGTGGCATTGTAGTGGTGCCTTTGGTGGTTTCAGCCGTGTATAAATTACAGCTGCTTGGCTGCCTGAGCTGCTCCTGTGCTGCTGAGGGCTCTGCTCCTCGTCTCTGTCCCCTTTCCCTTCGCTGGCGACACACTTGGTCTTGTGTGGCGCCAGTTCAGAGAGAAGCTATTGGAAAAATCTCTGACAAGTAGTGTTTAGGCTTGTGAATTCCTTAAACAGACAGTGCTTAATCCTGTATTTACATATATCAGTGATCAACATGCACTAGTGGGTATCTTAGCCGTGAGAATAAAGACTGTGTGCCTGATAAAGGGTTTATGTTGGCCAGACCCCATAGCTGGAATGCATTCAAGGAGAAATTCCCTCAGAAGGGAGGAGGGGATGTTTGGAGGAGCATCCCCTACGAAGCCAGTGCCAAAAAAAGAGTAACGCTGCTTTCTAATACTGAAATAACAGTGTTAGGGTGTTTAATTTTTCACATTTTCAGTGACAAAAGCCACCTGTGATTGCTCTTCCAGGGGCAGCTGGGCCAATGCAAAGCCAGGTGCTCTAATTCCCCCAGTGGGCTGTTGGGGTGAGAGGTGCTCAGAGGCAGCAGCACTGCACAGCCCAGATGGAGACAAGGATCCTGTCTGTCCCTTCTCTTTCCAAGTGCCTCTTAGCCTGAATTCTGTTCGTTGGGACTTCTGGAGCAGCATTTTAACAGCTGTCAGCCTGGGGCCTGATGGAGATGTCTGAGAGAGGAGGGCAGAGGCAGCAGCAGCCAGTGCCTAGAGCTGAGTTAGCTCCTGCATAATCAAATCCTAAATGTGATTAAAGCCCCTGCAGCAGGAGTGGCAGAGCAGAAAGGATGGGAGTAGCCCAGGCTGCTTGCTGTGTACCCCACAGACAGACCCACAGGCAGTAGTGGGGCCTTGTGTCTCCTCCTGGCTGCCTCTCTTCCTCACTGAGAATGTGCTTATTTGTTAATATTTATATTTTAATCTATTTTATAGACAATTATGTATGCATGGATTCACAGTGCTTCATGTTCAATATGTTTGTTCGTCAGTGGTTTTGCTGCTTTAGTAATGCCTCAGCTCCTAAATAATTACATGATTAAAGGTTTATTCAGAGTTTCATGTACCATATTGGGCACACTACTGCCTCCAGAATGTAACTCAGTTCCATCACATTCTGCCTCTAGCAAAACAAGCTGTTGATGGAAAAAAGATTTGGTTCTTTAGCTGCTGAAGGTGCTGGTGGGTGTGACATGATCCCACTGATCCTCCTCCAGGAGAGCTGGGAAGTGCTGCTGGCTTTCCCTAGGAGTCAGGGTGGTTGCCTCCCTAATAAGGTAACCTAAAGAGTTATTACACTCACTGGTGCTGACTCTCCTCTGTTTTAACTAAAGTCCCAGTTATGAGAATTTCAAGTTTAATTAAATTGGTTATGCAAAACAGGTGCCTGCCTTAATGAATGGTTTCAAACTAAGAGCAAATGGTTAACTCCCTCAGACCACAGCCCTGATGTGGTGCTGTGGGGTTTTCCCCAGTGCACTGTGTGATTCTCATCTTCCTAACCAGATGTTCTTCCCTGTTCTCCTGTTCCCCCAGATGTGTTGGATCCAGAGAGGTTAATCCAGTGCCCCTTGGTTAAACACCATTGGATCAGAGCACGGCGGTTTCCCTATCACCTGGTGAAGTGTAAGGAGGTGAGCTGGACAGGCAGTGACTCTGTGCTTGCCAATACTCCCTGTGTTCCTGCCTTTCCTGACAAGTAGCCCTGTTTAACTTTTATTTCATATAAGTTCAGGATTTGTTTAGTGATAGCTCCAGGCACACAGGAATTCACCCATTCACAGTCTGCCTCTCTTGGAAGGAGGCAGAGATCCTTCATGGTTAGTTCGGGGAGGAGACTGGTCTCTTCCAGCAGCTCACAGGGAGGCCATATTAATTTTTCCATTTCCACTTTCAGGATGAGGTGGGATAGTGATCATCAAGCAGGTAAAGCCAGTGTCTAAGTAATTAGCAGAAGAGCTTGGGGATTGTCACTGGTCCATCTGAAGATGCCACAGTGTGTTACTTCCAGTGGCAAGGGTCTGGGTGGAGATTGTCCCTCTTGCTTGGGACAAGTTTGTTGAGTTTCCTTTGCATCCCTTAAACATAAAATCCAATTAACATTTCCATCCAGCTCAATCTCCTGTTGCTCTGTGCAGAACAGAGCCTGCAAGCAGAGAAAGTTGGATCTTCTTGGCTGGAACTGTTTAAGAATAATGGAATCACAGGATGGTTTGGGTTGGAAGGGACCTGAAAGCCACCCCTGCCATGGGCAGGGACACCTCCCAATGCCCTAGGTTGCTCCAAGCCCCATCCAGCCTGGCCTTGGACACCTCCAGAGATCCAGGGGCAGCCACAGCTGCTCTGGGTAACTTGTGCCACGGCCTGCTCACCCTCACAGGGAGGAATTCCTTCCCAGTATCCCATCTAACCCTGCCCCCTGGCAGTGGGAAGCCACTTGCTGGTGCCAGGTGACAGCAGCAATGGACACCTATGGACATAGCAGCCCTGGCTGTACCAGGCCAGGAGTGCCAAGGGCCTTGGGTGTGCTGGAGCCAGGGATCAGCAGTGGTGGAGGAGGAACTGCCTGGAGCAGCCTTGAGTGTGAGTCAGGCAAGCACTGACCAGCAGAGCCAGGCAAGCACTGGTCCAGTGGCAGAGCTGGAGTTTTCCCAGTAATGCTCTCTCCCTTGCAGGAGATAATTTACTGTAGTGACAGCTGAGCTCTGCCATTGGAACTGGTGCCTGCCATAATGGAAATCCAGCTGGAATGCTGCCAGCTCCCTGACTCTTCTAAAAACCTTACAGAATTTCTCTGCCTGTGTGCCCACTTAGTTAAAATACATCTGAAGGGTTTGGATTTGCCTGATGTCTCTCCCCTACTGGTTTTAAAATGGTTTCATTTGTGCTTTAAGCCACACTGTCAATATCACCAGCACTGCAGGGAACTGTAGGGAGTTTGCTGAGGGTCTTTTCCATTTCAGTCAGAATGGCTTCGTTTCTGTGAATTGTGATTGGAAGAAAAGTCATTTTTATTTCCCCTTTTGTATTTAGTGAGTGTCTAACCAATGCATTGCAATTTCTTGTTTATTTTCAAAGAAACACCACAGATAATCCAGTCTTTTTTTCCTATGTATCAACAAGAGGTAAGTGAATTTGACAGATGTGGCACATAATTTTGTTTTTCCCTTGTCTAGAGCAACCCTGAAATTGCAAAGAAATTGGCCACGTGTCCCTTCAACGCTCGTCATCTGGTTCCTCAGGCTGAACTCAGCAACCACATCATGAACTGCAACGACAAAGCCTTTGTGGAGCAAGATGTGGGTAAGAGACCCCCTGTGCACCCTGGGACTGAGGTGTCCTCGTGGAGTAACCCAAAAGTGGGAGGCAAATGGTTGTCTGTAGTTTTGTGTGACACAGTAGCTTTGGGGAAACTTGACCTGATTTACTTGGCTTTATTGGGCAGTTTCTTGAGAATATGGCAGATGCTCTGGGTAGGCTTTGCATGTATTTTGTTACCAGGCTTGTTGAATGGAAAGGTTTTACCCAAAACCATACAAGAAGTGCCTCTGGAAGGAGGAATGGGATGCATTAATGGCCACAAGGAAGGGCTGCTCCTCTTCCAGAGCTGATCTCCCTTTGATTCTTGCACACCACAGGGCACAGAGTTTTCTGTCTTCTGTAGAGGTGCACAGGCACTGGTGCCTGCATCCATGTCAGCAGGCTTTCTCTTCACTCCAGAATTCCTGCTCAGAGTTCCAGGGAGCAGAGTCTTCTCTTTTTCATTGAAAAAAAGCAAACTTGAAGTTCCTTCATTTCAGCTGTCCCCAACCTGTTTGCTTTGGGTGGGGCTTGCTCTAAAGCCCAGAGCTGTTTTGCAGCTTTACCGAAGTGTTTAATGTATTTAAGGACTGCTGGTCACTGTGTTTTCTCTCTTCCTGAAGTGAGCCGGTCCTGTGAGTCCCCACAGGAGCAGCTGAATAATGGGAGCACATGGCAGGCACCTCCATGTGCTGAAGACTGGGAAACAGGTGAGGAACTTGCCCATCTGCTGCCTCCTTCCTGGCCATGTCCTCCAGCTCCTCTGGGAACAGAGTGAGGCCAGGAGTGCTCAGGGCTGCCTTGTAGGACACTGCTTATGCACCTTCATATGAACATGGATCTCTGCACCCAGCAGGCTTGGCTTGGTGTAAAGAACAATCCAAAATTCCTGCCAGAATGAGCATGGGAAGAGATTTCCAAGCGTCCCTTCCTCCCATAAGAGCTTTTGTACCTTATGTGTGGTGATAGCGATGGAAACATGTTCCTCAGTGAAGCAGACACATTCCTCATAGGTCAGCTTTTCCTCCCTCTTGAACATGTGAAAATATGACAGAGATATTCCTGATCATAGAAACCCTGAATGGTTTGGCTGGGATGGCACCTTAAAGTTCATCTCATTCCTTGAGCAGGGACCCCTCCCACTGCCCCAGGCTGCTCCAAGCCCCATCCAGCCTGGCCTTGGACACTTCCAGGGATCCAGCGGCAGCCACAGCTGCTCTGGGCACCCTGTGCCAGGGCCTGCCCACCCTCACAGGGAACAATTCCTAATTCCCAATCTCCTATCCATCCCTGCCCTCTGGCAGTGGGAAGCCATTTAAGCCACTGATCTGATGGTGGTTTCTGGGGTTTCTTAGTTCTGAGACACATCTGCTTTCTTCACAGACTTGCTGGAGGGATCTGAGTCTACTTTTGTGTGGGGTGTGATCAACTCTACCATGAACAGGTAGGGAATGCAAGTTTGCTTTTTTACATCAGTGTATGTTTATACAAATATTGCAGCCATCTTCCTGCCTTACCTCGATGGCTGGACAGCTGCCTTTGCTGCTGTACAACCCTGGGAGGAGAGATGCTGGTGGTTCAGTGTAACCTGCTTCCTCATATGGCCTGGGCCAGAGCAGGAAACCCTCAGGAGCACTGATACTGCTCCTGTGTGCCTGTGCCATGGCCTGGGTTCAGGGACTGATGGATGTCAGGGCAATGTGCAGGGACAAAGGTGATCCCTGTGACTCCTTGGGAGATCCTTGTGAGCTCCTGCCTCCTGGGGCCTGGCAGATGTGCTGAAATTGGGCCCTGTGTCAGCAGAATCCTCCCCTCGTGCCCTTTCCAAAGTGTGGTCAGAGTTTGGGGCAGGGGGAGCAAGGAGCTCAGTGCCCAGCTGTGAACAGGAAGGGGCTGCCCTGGCTGGCTAGGGGATGAGGTGGCACCACCAGAGCTCTCCAAGGTGTTTTAAGGTTTATTTAATAGGTTCATTTATGGTCCAGCAATAATCCTGCCCCTGGCAGCTCTGAGTTCTGTGTGAGCTCTTCCATAGGGTCTGACAGCAGCACTGCCTGGTTCCTGTCAGACTCTTTACCAGACCTTTGAGTGTTCAGAGCACATCCAGCTCTCCTCAGCACCACCAGCATGGTGGCACAGCACCATCCCCCAGGATGCTGCAGCAAAATGCATAAATGTGAGCCAGAAGTAACCAAAGTCACTTAATTCCAGCACCATCAGTGACCAGAACAACTCCTTGCCCTCGCGGATGCGGCCCCCTGAGACCCTCCCGTACAGCGTGTCTGCAGGCCTGTGAGTACTGAGCACGGGGCTGAGGCACCCAGGCCAGAGCTGGGACAGCTCCTGAAACCCCTGGCTGTAGCAGCACTTTGTGGCTCCCACTGCATGGACAGGAGGGGCTGCATGGAACAGCTGTTTCTTAGAGAGCAGCTTCTGAGGGAATCTGCTGCTGGAATCATCCTCTGTGTCCTTCCTTTGAGGCATCCTCTCTGTGCTTTTCTTGCTCCGTTCCTGTGACCCAGGTTAGGCAGGGCTGGTTCCTGGCCACATTGGCTCTGTCTCTAGTCTAAACCCACTGTTCCACAGCATCCCCATTATCCCCTTTCACCCCCCACCCTGCCCCTGACTTAAACCAAATTGTTCCTTTGCTTTGTGCTCCGTTCACTGCCAGGCCCAGCTAAGTCAAAGCTGAGATGAAACAGGGTCCTTAAATCAGCACCACTGGGGGAAGAAGTTATCAAATTCCATCTGGGGGAGGGAGAGAAGGAGCTCCCCATGGGGAAGTGTCTAATGCTGAAATCAAAGATTTTTATTTGCCTTTAGCAGCAAAGCAACAGCTTAAAGATGCTTTGAGGAGTGATTGTCCTGGTTCCCACTGGGAGCAGCTAAACCTGGCTCTCAGGGCCCTGCAGACACAGCTCCTGCACAGCCAGGGACTGTGCAATTGCCACAGCGTTGGGCTGAGTCTGGCAAACCAAACTGATATGTCAGTTGTAGACAAGCCTTGTTGCCAAGGGGACAAGTGCTGCCCCTGCAGAGGCCACTGTCCCTTGGGAGAGTGGGGGAGGTTGTTGTTATCTTTGTCCATCTCATGCAAAAATTGTATCTTGTCCTTTCCAGAATTCGGAGTATTAGTTCCTCCCCATGGAACTTAGTTTTACCCCAGCAGTAAGTGTCTCCCTGGTTTGGGCAGACGAGCTGCTGCAGAAGACAGACATGCTCTGGACCTGATGGCAGGACTCTCTACACCTGGCTTTTGTTGCAGAATATGTTTCTTGTAATGTTTGAATATGTGGAACTGTCCTTGGTTGGTAGATGTTTCCCCCAACCACCTGTTTTAAAAGTTACCCTCACCTTTACTTGGTGAATTTTGTTACTGTTTTTGAAAAAATAAACTGATAAATGTACACAGAAACCTTCCCAGCCCAGCCCTTGGTCATGGTGGCTCCCTGTGAACAGGAAAAACATCATAATTGCCAAGTCTCTGTTTTTTGTAACAGGCAAACTTAGAAGTATTTTACTGTGCATGCACATTTTGTTTTTATTTTGTTGGAGTCTGAGTTTGTCCACTCAGGTGGACATACTCAGGTATGGCAAGTGTTCAAGTTGGGTTTTAAACTGTGGTCATTTGCAGAGACTGCTTTGAGAGCATCCTGACCTTAACTTTTGCACCTTCACACCTTAGGCCTTTTCTTTGTCACCTTAGGCCTCGCCTTTGTCACCTTAGGCCTCACCTTTGTCTCCTGTGTGTGAGGGACTTCCCCAGGCAGATCTTAACAGAGAATCCTCTGCAAGTTCCTTGCATCACACACAACTCCAAACGGGAAGTTTCAGGAGGACCCTGAGGTGCTTTTCCAGTTTCCATTAGAGTTTTGCAATTTTCTAATGCTTGAAACATGTTTGAGAGCTCTCAGCTACCTGTTCTGTATTGGGGGAGGAAGGGAGTAGGAACGGTTTAAATCAGTAAAAATGCATGTTTAGGACTGAAAATGTTCAGATCAAGCAGTATATTTCTAAACATGCGAAGTGCAAAATGGGATCTAAATATACAACCATAAGGAATTAAGAAGCCAGACATAATGTTTGTCTAGAAAGAGATTAATGCCTTCATATTTTCCCCTAAAGACTGGATTTCCACCATCTGTATACTACTACTAGAAAATAATACATGTTAACAAGAATGCAAAATTAATATTCTTTTAAAGTTCTGTCAATTTATGTCAAGGTTCTTGTTAGCAATTTAGAATAAAAATGTTTAAAATGCCCTGAGATTGCTTTTCTTTGGAGTCAAGTGCTGACATGGGAAGCTCTCCTTTTCACCTTCGTTTCTTTGGTGACAAACACCAGCTGTGATTGTTTCTGCTTGTGTTGTATTTGACACAATATTTTTTCAGGTGTGTCACAGTGCACCTCCATGCTGTGACATATCCTGGGTTCAATCCTCAGCCTCTTGTGCTGGCTGGGTCGTGCAGTGCCAGAGCCTTCACCCCATTCCCTGGAGGCTGCATGGCCTTGCCAGGAGCAGATGGGATGTAGAATCAAAATCACACACCATGCTGGAAGGGACCTTAAAGCCCATCCAGTGCCACCCCTGCCCAGGTGGACACTTTCCACTGTCCCAGGGTGCTCCAAGTGCTGGCCAGCCTGGCCTTGGGCACTGCCAGGGATCCAGGGGCAGCCCAGGGTGCTCTGGGCACCCTGTGCCAAGGTCTCCCCTCCCTCACAGGAGAGAATTTTTTTCCTAACATTTAATCTAAATCTCCCCTCTTTTAGTTAAAAACTGTTCCCCTTGTTCTATCACTGTCTGTGTAAGAAGTCCCTTTCCCTGTTTTTTTATAAGCCTTTAGGCACTGGAAGGGGCTCTGAGGTCTCCTGGGAGCCTTCTCTTCTCCAGGCTGTTGGAATTCCAGGCTCTTTCTTGCTCCAAGGTCAGGGCGCATAAAACTCAGGAGTAGTTTTTGAAGTCGGACTCTGAAGTTTATTATCCTTATCTATTACAAACTCACAAGATGTGAGCTCTCTCTAACAAGCTGAGAAAGTGAGGTAAAATGGTGTCTGTTCAAGGCTGTTTAAGTCCCAATTATCCAATAAACAGCTGACACCTATATTATTTATGTTTCTAACCCAATTATGATCACTTAAAACCCACAATGTGGACATCTTTCATCCAATTAGAGAAAATCACCCAAATCTTTGAAGAAGAAAGAAGAAGGTGCAAAAAAGACATCTAATCCACATCCAAAATTCTCCATCCTGGCTCCCATATATCACCATATACTAAAACCCCAAACCTAAGTTTTTCCACCCTGTAAGATCACACAATACTATCCAAATGACACACACACTGTTTCTGCGCTATCACTCAAATTTTGAAGCCTTTTCCAAGGTCTCACGTCAAACAAGGTGTTTACTTGAGGGTTGGCACCCTTAAATTCAGAAAGCTCAAAGCTCTCAGCCACCAGAGCTCCAACAGGCAGCCCCAGCTCACTGTCCCTTGCCACCATTTCTCCCTTGTGCTCCATGAGCAGGGTGCACTCTCCCGTGCTGACCTCTATCCCTTGCCAAGTCCTGTTCCATCTGTGCCTTGGCTTTCCTGCCCCCATCCCTACACACCTGATGCAGACATCCCATAATGGCTCAAGGCAGCAGGTCCCTTTCTCTGTGTCTGGCACAGCCCAGGGCTCTGACAATATTCCTGCCCTGTATTTCCAACTCCAGGATAATTTTCAGTCCTGATGGGTTTTAATTTCTACTGCCCCTTTCCAGAATGTTGATACGACTCTGATCCCTCTGATCCCCCTTCCTTTCTCTTTGCCCTTTCCCCCCCTAAGCCAAGGCACAAAGATTTCCAAGAGGGGTGGAACAGGAGCCCAGTGATGCTGGGTGGGGGGGAAGAGGGAAACTCCATGCCAGGATTCCCTGGGACTGGGGACTCTCCATGCCAGGGAGTTCCATGCCAGGATTCCCCAGGACTGGGGACTCTCCATGCCAGGATTCCCTGGGACTGGGGACTCTCCATGCCAGGCAATTCCATGCCAGGATTCCCCTGGGGTGCAGGGCTTGCTCAAGGGGCTGGGGAGGGAAGAGTTCATCACCCACAGACCTTGGGGAGAGAAAGTGAGGCAGGAGCAGGCAGCTGACAGAGCTTTTCCCTTTACCCATGACACCTTTACCTCTTATGGCCCGTGAAGAGATCTTTTCCTCCCCCAGCTGAGACTTCCAGCCCTGGGCAGTGCTATCATGGGCTTCTGAAGGAGGTTGATTTTTAACACATCCCCTTGTGCTCAGACATTCCAGGGTTAACCTGATGAAGAGAACAGGGAGAGGCAGACACAGAGCAGGCTTTGGGCCAAGTACAAACATCCTCTGGTACTTACCTACACTTTCTTCCTTCTAAATTAATTCTGTCCCACCCAATCATCATCTCTTATCACTCATTATCTCCCACTCTATTCTGCACATACCTTACCCCCATTTCACTGGTTTTAAGTGCTCAAATACTGACTGGTTTAATCGATTTGTTTAAAACCATTTCCCTCTCAGATTTAACCACAGCCAGCAACTAAACATCACAGCTCTCTGCCACCTACCCAGGGAAATGTGGAAAAAAGTAAAACTCACAGCTTGAGATAAGAACAGTTTAATAATAAAAAAAAAATTATGAGGGAGAAAGGGGGAGACATAAAACCCAAGACAAACAAGTGCTGGCCAGTACAGTTGTTCGCCACCCTCTGACCCCTCCCAGCCCATCATTCCCAGTTTATACACTCAGAATTATTCTCTGTGATGTGGAATATCCCTTTGGCCAGTTCAGGTCACCTGTCCTGGCCCTGCTCCCTCCCAGCTTCTTGAGCCTCTGCTCACCGGCAGAGCCTGGGAAACTGTAAAGTCCTTAATTTAGAGTAAACACAAACCATTGGTGTGTTATCAACATTACTCCCATGCTGAATCCCAAACACAGGCCTGGGAACAGCTGCTGGGGAGAAAATTAACTCAATCCCAGGTGAAACCAGGACATAAAACCTTTCCTGGATTTCTTCCACTTGCTGAGTCACACTCACACACACTCCTGCAGCATCAGTCCCATTTCCAGCTGCTGCTCACAATGTCAAAGCCCCTCAGGGCCCACCCTGGACAGGACCCAGTGCAGCCCCATCCCAGCTCTGCCACGGGCTGGTCCCACCTCTGCATCAAGTTTACACAAACAGCACTGCCAACTTTCTGCATTCTTTGCTGGGTGTTTTCTGATTTAATTAGTGTTTTGTAGCTCTGGGGACTGGAATTACTTCAAAACAGAACTGAAGAGCAAGAGGACGATGATCCAACCCCTTGATCTCACATTTTAAATCCACAATCTCTTTATCAACAACAGCATTTTGCTCTCCAAGCTCTTCCTTGACTTCTCCTAATTAGAACCCCCTCACCTGCATCACTGCAGGTAGATAGGGAGAGGAAGGTCTGGCCCCTCTCAGGCCCTAAGAGGGAGTGGGCAGAGCACAGCAGGGGCCTGGCTGTGCCCCCAGCTGCCCCCCACTCCTGTTCCACCACCAGCTCTGGGGCTGTCCCACCTGGCACATCCCACCAGTCGGACCAGTGAGGCCCAGCACAGGCTCCTGATCCTTCCAACCCCAGTGCAGTGGGGTCCATTTCCTGCTGTGACCCAAAGGCAGCCCCCCACAGCAGCCCCATGGCTCCCTCCCCTATCCACAGTGAACCAGGAGCTGGTCCGGCTTGTTTATTTTGGCCCCAACATGTTGGTGAAGATAAAAAAACCAATTTCATTTTGGTTGAAAAAAAGTCTTTATTCACAGAACATCACATGAATCACGTCCCACCCTTGCTCCTTTATGTATAAAATACTGGTAAAATAAAGTTTTATTCCAGAGGCAAGTGAATTCCCACAGAGTGTCCTCCTGTGACCAGCTCACCCCAGAGCTGGAGCTCATGCCACAGTTTGGAAGCAGAAGTGAGGTGTTTGCTGAGGAAGGAAACGCCACCAAGCTACAGCAGCAAAGCCACCAGGGCTCCAGCTCCAACTCATTTCCTTTGGCAGGGACCACAATCCCGCCAGGGCTCCAGCTCATTTCCCACTGCATCCAAAGGGGAGATGCTTGAAGGAACCACCCGTGTCCCTGCCATGTCCCACTGCCACGGAGGATTTTGGGTTTCATA